TAACTCCCTCAGTTTTTCAATAAACTTTGTTTGTTCTTCAACCCACCTTTATCAATCCGTAATTTTCTAACCCTATCGTGAGTTTGAACGCTCACAACACAATTGCATTAAATTGACATCCTATGTCGAGTAGGGTGGTCCTTTGTGAGAGGTACATTTTCAAATTCATTTATTTTAAGCTCCAACCACCGGAATTCGTTATAATAGTCAAGAAAACTCTCCTGGTGAATTTTATTCAAATTCCAACAACATTTACCCCTCTCTCATCAACCTTGAAGTTTAGCCTCAGTTGCAGTAGCTCGCTTGCAGGGGATAGCGGTCATCAACGACCACGCGGAGCGAGGAGTTGCCCTCATCCAGGAATAAAGCTAACTCAGGATGAGGAGCAACTGCAATTTCTCCTCCAAGTTGTCTCTTGTCATCGCGCGGAGTTCCCGGACTCCAGAAAGAAGACCGTGGCTGCTGGTGTGGCAGCCCAGCAGGAGCAGGAGCACTAAGTCGGACTATGTATTTGAGGTAGAAAGACATGTTGCTAAATATTTTTATTATAGTTGAATACATTTAACTGTGTGATGAGGTAACCATTTATAAAACTCCATTGCACTGATTTGTCTTATGTTGTTGTTATTCATTATTCACTGTTTTGTCTTGTCTGCACTTGTGAAAAAATTATTTACACTGTCGCACTTTTAATGCCTCACTAAGTTCCTATTTGTATTCATTGCAAAGATGGCATTAAACGGTATCTGAATCTGAATCTGAATAAAACACTGTATCCTCAGGGTGAAACTTCAAGGTCGACGAGAGAGGGGTAAATGTTGTCAGATTGAGGAAAAAACTCACCAGGAGAGTTTTCTCGACTAATATAATGAATTCTGGGGGTTGGAGCTTAAACTTTCCGACTTTCAATTTTAAGGACCACCCTAATGTCGAGCTGTAATAATGTGACATTCACATACCAATCATTAAAGGTGGGGTAGGTAATTTTGGAGAAACCAGCTTGAGTGCGCTAGAATTTGAAAATACACAACCGGAAAAAATCTGCCACTTCCTTACAGAGCCCCTCCTCAAACACACACGAACGCGCACATGACCAATGAGGGCACGAGATAAGTTTGTGCACAGATGGAAGGCTGACAGGCAGGTAGGCCATCCAGTTATTTTAGCCGGGCCGTCTAAAATGATTGGTCGTGCTTTTTACAGCGCTACGGCTTCCACAGATGAAATGTTTGTATGTATTTATTGTCAAAGCATTTAATATATTCATTGCTATCGGGATGTTAAGAGCATTCCATGGAATATAACAAAAAGTGTTTCTGAATTAAACTACATACCCCACCTTTAAGTTTGAACAACTATTTAACCTGTTAAGCCCGAGAGACCCCGGTACCGGGGCACTGCCGCAACATCTTGCAGGAAACAGTGTCTGAGGGCATGTTCATTTAATAAAACTATGAATGTTTTATATCCATGTAACGGGAAGAAACTCATCTAACTGATCTTTTTTTTTTTTTTTTTCAAAAGAAAACCCACAATGCTAACGCTGAGCCTCTGAACTAGCAACGAGCGAAAAATGCTAACACCTTACTGCACCGAAAATCACTCACAAAACCTTATTATTTATCTTTTCACCACATCCAACACATCGTTTCACATCGTGAGGTGACACAGAATCAATTGACACCGACATTATCACTGAATTATACGTATTTGCGACGTTATAAGCAAAAACGGACATCAAAACAGGTGGCGCTAGGTAGCTAAAAATGCTAACATTTTTACCTTGGCTCTGTAGTCTCTCCAAAGTGGTCTTCAATGGCATTAAAACGATAAAAACGCTGCTGAAGTTAATCCATAGGTTAATCCAATGTGTCTGTGTCCCTTTGAAATGATTTCTGATAATCCATAAGCATTAAAACTGCTTTTCCGTTTCCAGATGTCAAAGCTAGAGATAGGTTCACTCTGATGGAAAATTACATGCGCAAAGCCCCCACCTTTTCTCTTCACAATGAGTGTGTGTGGGGGACTCCCCCTTCGATTCTATTGGCTCTAACGGTCAGAAAGAGGTGGCAACCATCAAAATCGAGCAAGGGAAGCCAGAGATATGGAAAATCCACCCAAATGACCCCAGAAGTTGTTTTCTCTTTTCTAAATCTCTCTAAAAAGGTCAAATGTCACTTGTTTTGCATCAATCTTGATACAGGGTACTTATTATATGTTGTACTTTGGATTCCTAAAGCTTTTAGTCTACTAACCCATCATCCAAGGGTGGTTTTCACTATAAGTAAAAAAGAATTTTTGGACGGACACTATAATTTTTTTACTATGTAAAATCTGAATTTTCTTTAAAATAAAAAACATCTATATTGATTCTGACTTTTCTACATCCATCTCACAGGTTTATCATTACTTTGAGAAAAAAGATTATTAATTTAACCCTTTTAGAAGGGAAGATATGGTCATTTGTTCTGGGAATGTCATTTTCGAGCCTGAGACCTGAAAAACAGGCTCAGGGCTTAACAGGTTAAAGGTATGGTTTATATGTGATTCTGTAAAAGAGCCAGGTAAATGTGTGGATGCCACACCCACCCCCCCAGTAGAAGAATAAGTAAATCATGAGCACACCTACTGACTGACAGAACGAGTGACAGCTGCAGTAGCAAAAATCAGTGGGCCACAGCTGCTGCCCAGCGACACAATGCAATGCCAATTTGAGGTCCTATCTAAATGGTAACCCTAGATTTTGCAAAGATATTGCGAGATGTGTTATGAACCAAAAAAACTGTTATTAAAGGTGAAAGCCCATATTAAAAATCAATTCGGATCTGTTTTTTATCTGCCTTTAGAAAAAGGGTATTCATGAACAGCAGAGTTTCATAATCTCCTGGGGAGTGTTTTTTTCATTAGTGGCCGATCGAACAGTGATGAAAGTAGGGGTGGAAACTTGCGGTTTAACAGTCAACCCTTTAAGTTATTGATTCCAATTTGATAAACCAATCACAAGTTAGTCATTATAATAGGCTAATATTTACCTCAAGAAAAAGAATGACCACTCGGACCACTAGTCTTATACACTTTTTCCTTCTCAGATAAATCTCCTCAGTCCTCTAGGTAGTTGGGGGTCCTTAACAGTACCAATATTCCCTCCCCCAGGTCCTGACTGTCTTTGTTATTCTGCACCTGTAGGTTAGGAAGGTAGTTTATGTAGAGCAGAAAAGGGTGTTTCCATTCCAAAGAACATTCTTTGTAGAAAGAACTAACCATGAGTACAAGCTTAAAATGTATAGTATGATATTTTGACATGTATACGTAATAAAACATCTGATGTTTAATTCAAACACATTTTTACAACATATTGTAGACTTAAAAAAGTATTAATTATTAAATCATGCCTTGTGCTTCCTCCTACCCTTTGGCTCAATGAAAAAGGGTGTGTGACTCCACTGTCCACTGAAAAGGATTTGGTTCAATGTGATTGGCCAATCAAATAAGTTCGGGCATATTGGTGGAGTCAGATGACAGTAATCGTAGATCGAGTCACCTTAGAACTAGTTATCCAGGTTTTTTGCAGAAGGTATGTGGGCCTAACTGTATATTGCAGAGCTTTACATTCCTTCAATTGCTTGGTTCTGTAAAACCATTACACTTGCAAGACACGTTCAACTAAGAGTTCCACTTAAATTAACTTCGGTAACGCTATTGCAATCAGCCGAGACTTCAGTGTTAATGACTAATATGTATATTGATATGTGCACAAACAAATGAGATCTCCGAAAAGGCTTATTCTTCGGCAGTTAGACCTCATTGTGACTGATATATTTTTAGGGGATGTTGTTACCATAAATGAACGACTTTAAGCCATGTTGTCTTCCCAGAGAAGTGGTTCTGGCTCATTTTTGTCATTATATACTTATAACCTTATGATTCTGATACAATGGTGTGTTAACCCTCTGATTTATCTGGAGGCCATGGCTATAGTTTACGTTATCAAATAAGCAATTTTCACAAAAACAAAACAAAAATGTAATTTCACTACTAGTGATCAGTAATGATCACTTAAAACAATAGTAGTTTGGTTTAAAGCAAGCAAGGTTTAAACCTAAATATCTACTCAGGATTTCAGGACCACTGGGATTTGTAATGCTTATGAGACCATGGAGTTAGAGGGAGTGGTGCTCAACAGTATGTGACTTGTTTGTTGTAGTAAAGAAGTTAGACTGGTTATCTTTTCTTGTTCAGCTTGTGTATGGATTACTTGTTTGGACCGGTAAGTATTGGTAGAGCTGGTTGTGTTTTTTGTAATCTCATGATTAATCATTCTACACCAAAGTGTAGGATTTAGGGGGTATTATTGACCTAAATAACATTGAATAAACAAAGAAATATGTATATCTATACTAGATATATATGTTGCATGTTATATTATTTTGTATGTTATAATGCCTTGTTTTTCTAACGACTAAAAACTGACACATGATGACTTGAACGTACAAAAGGAGAATTTTATTTAAATGTTAAATAGTTATACTGTGTATATATCCAGTGTATTTTAAACACTGAAATATTGTTTAAACATATTGTTATTGTTACATATAAATATTGTTAAACATGGTTTATGTTACAGTCTACTGTGAAACTATTTGAGTGAACAAAATGGGCCATCTGTTTAAAAGTAACTGGCTTTGGTTGTAATATTTTATTTCCAAAAGGGGGATTTGATACTTGCCATTACTTTACACACCCTGTCTCAGGGCAGTGTTACGCCGTATCTTTCTAAAATTCCTCCCTACCTGTTTTACAGGATTGGCGTGTAGGTTGAGTTGGAGGGGAGGTTGGACAGCAAAAGTGAGAGTCCAGGTTAAAACGGCCGAAAGGATCCTTCCCCTCTCAGAGCATGGACATAAAAGACGGCAGAGCTCACAGTCAGACACTCAGAAGGACTTGGCTCTCCCTTTGAAGACTGCTCATCATCTGTTCTCCTCTTGTCAGAGATACCAACCTTCACCACTGCAAACATGATGTCCAGGAAATCATACTCAGTCTCTGGCTCTTCTAAAGGTAGCTTGAAAAGTTCCTCCAGCTACTCTGCACAAAGAACAGGTTATGCAGTTGGTTCTGGTGCCGGAGCTGGTTTTAGTTCAGGTTCAGGTTTTGGTTCAGGTGCAGGTTTTGGTTCAGGTGCAGGTTTTGGTTCAGGTGCAGGTTTTGGTTCAGGTTCAGGTTTTGGTTCAGGTGCAGGTTTTGGTTCAGGTAGCTCTGGCAGTTATGGCATTAGCTCCAGCCAAGCAGGAGGCAACTGCATGGCTCCATTGATCACTGCTGTCCAGGTCAACAAGAGCCTGCTGACCCCTTTGAACCTTGCAATTGACCCCACCATCCAAGCTGTCCGCACCCACGAGAAGGAGCAGATCAAGACCCTCAACAACCGCTTTGCTTCCTTCATCGACAAGGTTGGTTCCTGTGCTCTCTGCTTGTGACTGTGTTATGTGAAATGTACTGTAGACCTGAGTATCTTACTACCAATGGCCTGCAATGCTCTCATGGGGCTAAATTACTTGCAGCTGCTGTCAAAAGCAAAATGTGAAGTGAATTGTAGCATAAAAGAGTCAATTAAATCAACAGTCTAACCACATTTACAACATCTGATAATCTTACCTTTTTTTTGTCTCCACAGGTCAGGTTCCTGGAGCAGCAGAACAAAATGCTGGAGACCAAATGGAGCCTCCTGCAGGACCAGACCACATCCCGCTCCAACATCAATAGCATGTTCGAGGCTTACATTTCCAACCTGCGCAGACACCTCGACGGACTGGGCAATGAGAAGGTCAAGCTGGAGGGAGAGCTAAGGAACATGCAGGGTCACGTTGAGGACTTCAAGAATAAGTGAGTGCTTGTATGACATGGTCACTAACTTTCACAGACATTTGATTAAGTCAACAGATGTTTTAAAATCGAGCAGATGTACTAAAATCCCGCCATGTTCCAACAGGTATGAAGATGAAATCAACAAACGTGCAACTGCAGAGAACGAGTTTGTGCTCTTGAAGAAGGTGCATACACATCAAAGATACATTCATTCTTTGGAAATCCTGGTGTTAACAACAAAGTAGCAAATTCTAACACTTTCTGTTTCTACATTATTTTCTTTTTAGGATGTTGATGGTGCCTACATGAACAAGGTGGAGCTGGATGCCAAGGCTGATGCTCTTCAGGATGAGATCAACTTCCTCAGTGCCGTCTATGAGACTGTATGTATCTATAATATCATATTCTTCATAATATTATAATCTTTTCTGAGTTAAATCTGATGAAAATCTGCTCGATCTTTAATGAAAAAAGGACAAAGAGTTAATTATTGTGCAACAACCATTGTTTCTGTAGGAGCTTCATGAGCTGCAGAGCCAGATCAAGGACACCTCCGTCATCGTGGAGATGGACAACAGCCGTAACCTGGACATGGACTCTATTGTGGCTGAAGTGCGTGCTCAGTATGAGGACATTGCCAACCGCAGCAGAGCAGAAGCAGAGGGCTGGTACAAACAGAAGGTGAGTGAAAAAAAGGCTAAGTTCATGTTGTTGCTACAATTATTTTCAACACCTCGTCATCGCTTTAGATCCCTCTCTTGACACACATTGTTGTATTTTTCATAACAGTATGAGGAGATGCAGACCTCTGCCGGACAGCATGGTGACGACCTGCGCACAACAAAGTCAGAGATTTCTGAGCTGAACCGCATGATCTCCCGTCTTCAGAATGAGATTGAGGCTGTCAAGGGACAGGTATATTTAAAAAACTTCTTATTGATGAAGCATTAATATGAACACTTTAATATGCACTACATTAATTTAAGAGGGACTTGCAGATACTAAATAATCAGTGACATTTTCTACAGAGGGCCAGCCTTGAGGCTCAGATCACAGAGGCAGAGGAGCGTGGTGAGCTGGCAGTGAAAGATGCCAAGCTCCGCATCAGAGACCTGGAGGATGCTCTGCAGAGAGCCAAGCAGGACATGGCCCGCCAGGTGCGCGAATACCAGGAGCTGATGAACGTCAAGCTGGCCCTGGACATCGAAATTGCCACCTACATGAAACTGCTTGAAGGAGAGGAGGACAGGTGGGATAAACTTTAAGAAATGCTTTTATGCTTCACCATTAGCTTTAACTTTGAATTAAGGACTAACTCTGCATTATTCCAACATTAGACTGTTCAGCGGAGGCGCAACTGCAACCATCCATGTGCAGTCCTCTGGTGGTGGTAAGTTCAATACTTTATACATCATGATCATAAGGGGTAATCTATCTATCTATCTATCTATCTATCTATCCATCCATCTATCTATCCATCCATCCATCTATCTATCCATCTATCCATCTATCCATCTATCCATCTATCTATCTATCTATCCATCTATCTATCTATCTTAAACCACATTGCTATATTGATTGAAAAATGATAACACATGCATGTTTTTTTTTCTACTGCAGGATTGTCCAGTGCCAACTCAGGTTACGGCTACGGTGGCGGCTTCAGTAGCAGCAGTGGTTATGGCAGTGAATCTGTTCAAAAGTCCTCAGTCACTACAACCAGTTCCAGAAGAGCATATTAAAAAACAAGAGCTGTCCCTCTTCTTCTTCAGAAACTCATGAATTTGATCTAATTCTGTAGCTATTTATGATGATATGCAATGTTGTTAGGCATGTTCAACAAGAAAGATGAATCTCTTGTGTCACACTGCTACTATGTTGAAACTAGATTTATTAAGTAAAAGCTTCCCTTCCAACTTGTCTGATAAAAATGTTTGCATAAATTACATGAAATGTATCTGAATAAAATACACCCGTTAACATAAATATCTGCCTTGGTCTCATTATTGTTGTGACAAATACATGTTTTACTTTTTATGTTTTACTGTTGTTGCTGTTACAGATAGCTATCACACTTAAAAGTAAAATCTCACTGTTTGTGCAAAAACACCTTTCCATCTCTGAATGCAACAGCGGCTTTGCCTTATATTTATTCTGGAAAATGCCATAGTGAGTTATTCTCTCCAGGAACCACTGAGTTATATATAGCCATTTAATCTGTCAAGTGATTTGAGGAGTCGTAAAGACTAAAGCGCTACAATAATACAGTCCATTTACACTGTATTATGTCAACACATTACACATAATTAGATTAGGTGAGTTGAAAGCAATAATATTAAGATGAATCTAATATTTTAAACTTAAATTCAGTTTAAATATTATTTAAAGGGGACCTATCATGCAAAATGCACTTTTGTACGTCTTTTATACATGAATATGTGTCCCCGGTGTTCCAGGGAACTCACCAAGTGTCAGAAAACACAACCCTCTCTATTTTCCTCCATACCCAAATCTCTAAAAAAGGGGCTGCAACGGATCTGATAAAAACTGATCCAGATTTGAACACTGTCCTGACGTCAGGACAGTGGCGCTACGGCTATTGGGCCAACTCCACCAATCAGGAGGAGACAGCCACGGCCATTGCCGTTCGAAAGCGCTGGAGACGCTGTAGTACATATGCCAGGCCTGTAGATGGTGCTGTTCTCACAGAATCTGCCCTTGCAAAAACAGAGCTAAAAAATGTCAAATTGAGCAAAATGAGGCATGGTTAAAATGCATGATCTGTTTGGTATTTTGAAAAAAAAAAAGTATAAATATGCCTTATATAGGTATGGTCCTATACTATATTATTCAAATATAGCATGATAGGTCCACTTTAAACTTAATATTATTGCTTTCAACTCACCTAATCTGATTATGTGTAATTTGTTGACATAATACATTTAATTAAAGTCAACCTTTCAGTTTTTTATAGAATAGATAGATATATAATATAATATAATCGGAGGATGAAATGTCCGGACCTCGACACAAACTGATGAACCCAAATGCACGACCCAGAGACAAAGTCTTGATTATAAAAACATTTATATTTATTTATACAGTTCAGGTAATCCCTCTTAACAGAGTAGGTGGTGGAAATAACAAAAGGTGCTCACAAGGAGGAAAAAACTAGCGTAACAAAAAGAGGACTTAATAAAAACATAAGCCTAACAAAATAAACAAACATAACAAAACCTGACATGAGAGAAAGCAATCCTTTCTGAGCTGAGGCTTGGCACGACCATTCGGGGAAACAAACAAGAGAAACTGACACAGGACAGGGGAGAGACAGGACTATTTAAACAAGAGGTGAGTGGGAACAGGTGGAAACAATCAGGGGCGGGGCAGACACTGATGATGGCGGGAAAAACACACAGGGGGAGGAAAAAACAGGGCCTGAAATGAAAGACAAGAGGTAAATACAAAATAAAACAGGAAATGACAGACAAAATACATAAACATAACTAACACATTTGACGAGACACAACATGAAATCCTCTTTAATTATCACACATACATGCACACAGCACACACAGTGACACTTTACCTCTGCATTTAACCCATCCTACTAGGAGCAGTGGGCAGCTATTGTAGCGCCCGGGTACAGTACATTTTTGTATGTGGTATTGGGTTGGTATTGTAAGCGTACGCTGTGCATATAATCAAATCTGCATTTAAAACATGGACATGTAAATCCCTGAATCAGTGGGTATTTGTTGATACAATTGTAAAGTATATAACGGTTGATTTGGGATGCAAAATCTAAACAAAATTCAACAGTGATAAAACCTTGCTTCTTGCCATTGACTCACCTGTTGATAACGTGAAATGCCACCTGGTGACATTAAATATAAAAATCTTAGATGTGGTGAAGGATTTTGATAAACGTCAAGCTCATCAAATGTTTTTTTATCTAGGTCAAGGGATAGTGGTTGGGAAAAGACAGATGACCTGATTTGTTTTACAATTTTATTGGAGCCAAAGAATAAGCATAGGAAGGAGGGATGTTCAAAATATTGAAGCATGAAAATAATGTTTAGGCATAACTGCTTCACAAACAGGGCTACGAACACTGAAAGAAACGTAGGTACTATCGACTCATATTCTTCCAAACCAGCAGCCCCTTAATACTCTTCATCGGGTAGAAGGGAGTCTCTCAATGTATGCTTTTGTGCTTAGATCTGTATTACCTATGTCTATGAGGTAAATACATATACAGTGTTAATGGAACTGTTTTCATTTCTGCACAGACACATCGTGCACTCAAATGTTGTATTGCAGGTTCCAAGAAAAACCCTTAGTTAATCTTCACCTAAGGCTGAGAGCGTTTGGCAGTGATCCTGCATTTAATTGTTAAGCTGTTCCAAGATCTTAGTAGTAATTTAGTCATAATATTATTACAGGGCACATGCCAAATTCTGTAATTTAGTCATAATATTATTACAGGGCACATGCCAAATTCTGAAGTTGTAGCCATTCATGTTTCCAAAGAACCAGTTACATCACCATCAGAGCAATTACAGCGATTTATCTTTTTTATCCCTAAGAAAGGAAATAACTCTACCGGAAGTTACAAAACCTAATATCACTTGAACAAGACATGTGGACCTGTTAACTGCTTGTTAATTAACAGGTCCACATGATTAAACAGGGGAGGCAGGTATAAGAGTGTAACTTTATTAAAATAAAAGCTGTTACTGACTAAACACAAAAAACTACAGGTTAAACAAAAATAAAAAAATAAAAGCAGCAAACAAAAAAACTAGATGCAAACCAGGAAGACGTAGAAGAAACAGGAGGGCAGATGAGGGAAATTCAGAACATGCAGAGAGAGACCAGGAACCAACATCAAGGAAAGAACAACGAGGAACCGATAAGGAACACAAGAGATGACTAGACTATATACTGTACACCAGGGGTGGAGTGCTATTTTTATAAGTGCAGGAGCGCACCAATAGGGGCGTTCACACCAAGTTCTTTTCCCACAATAGTTCATGAGAACTCAGTTCATGAGAACTCTTTTAGTTCTGATGAACTAAAGCAGATCACGTTCACACCGCAATGAGTTCCTGGGGGTGGATTAGGCAAAGGAAGCCGCTGACGTCACTTCTTCTTCTTCTGCTTTGAGTTTAATGGCAGGCCGCAAACAACTTCACGGTGTATACTGCCACTCGAAGTCCCCGGCCGGAAGTCCCCGGAGTTGGGGACTGGCTTCAGTAGAAGCTGCTGGAACTCCCAGCAGCTTCTACTGAAGCCTTCCGAGTAAATCGCCAGAACGCCGACACCTCCTCATCTCCACCGCTCCCATGTTTTCTTTTGTGTTGCCATAAGTTAGTGTCTCTGCATTTGTGCGCTGGGCTAATGCTAATAATGCTAATGCGAGGATAATAAAATGGCGGCTTCACAAAACCTTTTGGGAGTTTTACGGGGCGTGGTTTGCATTCCGCCCAGCCAATCAGACATAGGAACCTTATTCTCCCACGAAAGTCCCTGCTCTCTAGCAGGGACTGAAAAGGGGGTACAAATGGTTCTGATTAACTAATTTAGTTCAGGGGGCTTTTTGGTGTGAACGCAAATATATCTGAGTTCTGATGAACTATTCTAGGAAAAGTACTCCGGAAAAGTGACTCGCGCATGCATGCACTCGCACGGTTGTGGCATGACCACCAAAACAGAAACATATGGACATAGGTTACTATATAAAAAGCGTGCAAATGTATTTAGTATCCTATCCATGTGAACCTGTTTTAAGTTGGTGGTGGACCTAACATCCTCAGGAGGGTCCGGGGGTATGCTCCCCTGGGAAGATTGTTTTTTAAATGTTGAAATTGAATGCATCAATCTGGTGCACTTTGAGAGCAAAATTAGGGACTAAATCTATGGATACATCTCTCAACAACACCCATGTGAAACAGAACTGTAAACAGATGTACTTTTTCTTTATGCATATCTTACTAATCACTCCCCTTTTAAACTGTATTTTTGTTTTACTGTCCTATGAGTTGGAATTATTTCATACCGGTTTTTAATTTATTCTCTTGTTTTTTATAACTATAGTGATCATATAAAAGGTGTGCCTTGGAAATACTTGTTTACATAAATGATGACCAAACCGTTTGAGACCGACTGAGATAACTTAGACTAAAGTTAACTATCTGAACCCTCAGAGAGTCCTTTACCTCACTGAGCTGTAGTCATCAGCCTCTCAGTCTGACAGGAGATAGCTCTCCTCCTAGAAACAGCTCCTTATGTACGTTAGCTTAGCTAGCTAACCAGATGCTAACAACAACAATCCGCGGCACCCGTGCGCGCTCTCTCTCGCTCACACAAAATGTGCTCGTGCCACACAGCCGAGCTTGAATGACACACAGAGACCCAGAAGTACTTTTACTACTTTATCCTATTCTTTTCGATGGCTTTATTGTATGATTAGTATGACAGATGAACAGATCACCACTGGGCTTTCAACTAAAGACACAGCCACGCAAGAAACTGCGGCATGTGTACGGCTCTTTATGTGTACTCCAATTTTTGAAGTGCCGGAGAGGCGTTCCGAATCACAAAGACAAGACACAGCTGGAAAGGGCAAGCAGAAACACAAGGGCCACAGGTTAACACAATCAGGGGAAAACTAAAAGACAGGAAGTAAAACATGACAAGACACAAAGAGGGAAAACATTTCAAAATTGAAGAAACTGTAAACACAAAACTAAAA